GGAAACATCTGGGCACTCGTGGGGCTGGCAATGCACCTGCCTGCTGCATCAGCAGTGCTGCATCACTGTGCCAGGCTGCTGTTCTTGGGATGCAGGTGGTTGTTTTCCAGCAGCACTAGGGTCTGGCTTGCACGGAGAAATGGCAACAAGTGCCAAGGCTGCAGCCTTCTGCACCCCTGTCTGCATCCATAAGGTATAAGAGTGGAAATTCAGTCAGGAGATTAACAAACCCACAGAAACTCAACCGTAGCATACTACTAATAGCATATTAGTTATGATAGGCACATGCTGTTATAAGATGCTTGTTTCAGGAGAGCAACAGGTATTATTTTTCACATTAGTCTGGCCTCAGTCCCCCATAAAAACCCCATGTTTCTCTCTTCAATAGCTGTGTTTTTATCTTAGCTCTCACTATACACAAGAAAGCACTATCACTTGGCCCACACTGAAATCCAGCCTAGACTCACAGCTCTGCTCCTGCCTCCCTCACCCAGTAACAAGGAGTGTATTATTTTAGTGGTCCTTTGCTGCTCAATCTTTTTTTGCCCTTATTTAAATCAACTGCAAAATCCTAGTGCTAATAGGGAAAAAAAAAAAAAAAGAAATTAGAAGTACCGGCAGTGAAGATGGAGCAAGGTTAAAGGAAGAAAGTAGTGATACCACAGGAGTTTTTATATTTGTTTCCAAGTAAATCTTTGCCACTGAAAAGTGCTCAGTGGTCACAACTTATAATGTGAGCTCAGAATGAGAATCCAAGTCCAAAACTGTGAAAACTGCCTCTTGGTGATGCTGTTACTTGGGTACCAAATTCATGGGCCACTTCTCAAAATGTTGGCCAGCAGATTTAACCTTCTGCTCTCCTGACCTGTTAAATTTCCTTGTGTTGTATCATTATTCAAGAAATCCTAAAAGATGACTGATGCATTTGTAGCTAGTGATGTTGATGCCTGTGTTGCTAAGGCTTGAGGAAGAGGACAGAAAATTCTTTGTAATTAAAAATGGACAAGTAGTATTTTGTAATTAATTTTTCTTTTAATATTGACATTTTAATAGTTTGGGCCTCATTTTGCTTTCATTTATACCTACACAGAAACAATTATTCCTTCAGCAAGTCCCTCAGAAATGGATACATGTGTTGGGGGTTTGGGGTGGGGTTTTTTGTGGTGGGTTTTTTTGGTGGGTTTTCTTTTTTTTTTCCTACTTCTCTCATTGGGCCCCTTGGCTTGGATTTGGGAGCATTAGGCTGTTATTCTCCCTATCCTGTGTGATCTTGGTAACTCATTTTTTGCCTCACTACCCTCAGCTTCATCTCTAAAATAGGGTTTTACTGCTTGAGCCAAGCTGGGTGTTTGTTTGCTCCTTGAAGGGACTCAATGGCTTCAAATTGATTTCCTGGGCATAAAGCATCATAAACAGCAAGTGGTAAATTACAAACAAAGGAAATTCCCAACCGGAGTTCCTTGGAGCTCCCAGCTGCTATATTTTTGATCATTTTACATTTTCTGAAGGTTTATATTAGACTTAACTGCTTTGTGAAGTAAGACTGAGAAATTTCCTCCTCCTCATACTTACTGTCCTTGTCCAGGTGCCGTTGCCAAAGCAGCTGGAGTGAGACCAGACTGACCTGAAGAAAACAACTTGGGATAAGGACTATTCAAGTTTTGCTTACAACAGTTTCAGCAGATGTTTTCTGCAGAACCCAGGTGGTAAATTCAACTCTTTGGGAACAAAGCTTGCGATACACACTTTTATAAGTGTGCTGGAAACGGCTGGCATGGGAAAACCCAGGGCTAAGCATTTCCACCAGGTATCAAACAATCCCGCTGCCATCTGTCTGCCAAGTGGATTTGAGGCTTCAGTTTGTTGTGGGAGTATTTTCTCAGAGGCATCAATAACCTCGTCTTTCTAGTTTGTCAGCAAACTACTTTGCTTCCACGTTGTCCTCCTGCTGCCAGATTCTGCAGGAACACGCTGTGCTTTATCTTTCTTTTCACACACATGCTCCCTTATTATTCTCTTGTCTGTGAGAAATGTATTTGGGTTCCATGTACACAGCTTCATTTTTTAGGCTAAGGAAACAGCAGTGAAATAAAGCTCTCTCTGTAAGATGTGTGCAGCACTTCCATCACTAACCAGATGCTCGCAGACAGAAGGACTGCTCTGGTACAACAAACACCTCGCCTGGATGGTTTCGAGCTCTATTTCAGAACACAGTCTAGTGGGTATTGTACCTGATCAGCATTTAAAAGATGCTGCTACCTTCTGCTTCGAGAGCTGTGATCTTCATTCCCTATGATTCACCTCTGTCTTAATGTATTCCTTAATTGCAGCCACCTTGGAGTGCACTGAAATGCCATTTCAGGTTTCTTTCCACACTCTTCTTGTGGCAGGAGGATTGGAGTTTTTTTCTCCTCATCCTTTATGATCAAATTAGATTTTTCCGTTGCATTTTTTGTGAAGCAATTGCAGGTAAGTCACACACTTGTAAAATACATCCACAAGAGACCAGTTTGGGGGTTTTGTTTTTTTTTTTAAGCTGTAAGGCTTAGGTAAAGAACAAAGGCCAAAATGCTGCTCCCTTGCCTTCCTGTGGCTGATATTTGATCCAAAGGCACAGCTCTGCAGCTCCTGGCAGGATTTCCTTCAGGTGAGTTAGTCTCTTAGTGATTGCAGTCCCACCCTACTCTCTCTTCCCATGTTTATTATAATAGTCCTGTAGAATCAGCAATGTCCAGGACCTCATTGAATCCAAGGAAGTCTCTACTATCATTAGTTACAATTTTCATTTGTCCTTTCTGTGTCTATCACCTGACCTCTTTCCAAGCTCTCTTTCAAACTTGTAAAGCTCCTTCTAAGCTCAGCTTCTGTTTGCAACTGCAATGCCCCAGACTTGAGAAACCCTCTTGATTTACTGCCTAAGACAGAGAAAGTAGCTTTTAAGTATCACATAAAGGGAAAGGAAGAGCCATTTCTGCATGGCAGAGATGTAAAAAAATGGAAGTAATTTTCATTGCAGCCCCCAGTTTTTGTAGTGGGTAAGAGCAGGAAAGGGAAGGAGCTTGGTACTTCTAACCAAGCCCTTGCATGGAGCACAGCAGCAAATGCAAAGAGCTCTTGGAGAGGAAGCTACACCCAGAAGCTGCCAAACATGTCTTACCAGGGTGCACAGAGCAGGACCTGCAGAGCCCTGCTCTGATCCGTGTTCTCCCACCGAGCAGCCTCTCCAGTGATCCCAGGAGGAGCCAGGCAGCCAGATAGAGAGATCAGACCATCAGCCTGACTGCAGCAGAGCTGGCTTCCTAGTACTGCTCAAGGCACAGCACTCCTAGGTGCAGAAATCCCTCTCAGGTAATTAAAAGCAAAGTGAAATCCCAGTTAAGCAGAGTTATATAAGAGACTGGAACAGCATGAACAAATACCTTAAGTATTCCACCTCTGTAGAGCAGCCTTTTTAAGGATGCAAGAGCCAAGGCTGTAAAATTTCAGTTCAGAGGTCCCTTGTGCCCCAGCAAAGCTAATACAGACACGGAGCAGTCAAATCCAGAAGAAGCTTAATCCCCTCTGCAGGCTTGTGGCACGAGCTGCAGGGTGACAGCACATCTCCCACCACCCCTCCTGGAGCTCCACCAAACACAGAAACAGCCACAAGCTTCAGTTTCAAATCCTTAGAATTTATTTTTCGTCATAACTGTGCAGTTTTTAAAATTCTACAGTAATGATGAAGTCATAGGCTACTATGTTCTTTAAGTGTGGAAACAGCTTTCAAAAAACAAAGACCATGCGCTACAAGTGAGGAACAGGCCATTGACTCTTCAGCTGGAATATACAGACATTTTTGATAAATACTGATCACTGTAACACTTAAATGGAATGACATGTTCAGATCTCTACGCAGTTCACTATGAAAACAGCATGGCAAGTTACATAAAAGCTTCAACTTCGAGGATCCTTCCTTTTTTATTAAATTAATTACTTGATAAGAAAAGAGAAATGCAAGATTATTTGAAATGGAGTATCACCTGGACAACTTCCCCCTACATTGTTGGCAAGCTCCTGTTATCAAGATGATTCCATCAGAGCTGGCAGTTAAGTTAAAATACATATATGTAAAAGAATCCCCCACACTGCTCTCAGCTTCAGGAGTTTTAACAGGCAAATATCTTCATGAATTTGGAATGGGTGTTCAAAAACTGTATCTTGATATTTATTGCTTTTACTTGTAAACCTGAAATCCAGTTTATTCCTTTGATGAGCGCCAGAAGTACAGAGTCAAAGGATGCATGTTTGACTTACATCTTTGCATTCTGGTTAAGAAGAAAGAAAAAGATGACCCACGCTCAAAAACACACATACACCTCCATCTACAAACAGCCTATACAGACTAAAGCAGAACAAGGTAAGTCCTAAAGTAGCAGTATTTAAAAACATCAATGGGGTAGAAACCCAGCTTATCCAACCTATCTGCACATTTCTTCTTCTCCCGTGCTTGGCCATAGTTCAGCTGGCACACAGGGAAGTTTGGCTCTCCTGCAGAAAGGAGCAGTTTCTACGGATCAGGATTTTGGAGAGAGCAAAGGTTCACTTCACTGGAACTGGCAGGCACAGTGCCATGTGTACTCTTCATGCTTACATCTATTTAGACTGTTCCATGGCTGCTGAAGGAGGAGTGTGAGGTGAGGACAGAACCCAGACTCGCTACAAGTACTGCACAGTTTTACCCCTTGCCAGTTAAGCTGGCAATGTGGTCTCTGTAAATACCATTCAAGGGAGGGATTTGGAGGATGCAAGAAATGCCTACATTTGATAGATTCCAGCTCACCTTGATCATCACCAGGCTGAAGGTGCTACCCAGCATAACCTGGCTAAACTGCAATCTTTCAGAACTGAGATGAAAGGGGTGTTACTTTAATAGACTAATTTGTTACAAGACAGTTTGAGAGACTGCATTCCATAGGTTTCCATCTCTTCCTCCTCTACCCCCAGAAGAAGAGACAAGCAAACATGATTAAGTTAGTATGTATTTGTGTAAACACCAGAACATTTTGCTATACAATAGAAAAAAGTCGCTGCTCTTATGTTTTTAGAGGAGCCCTGAAGACCTTGGAATACCTGTATCCTGCAACTATTAACCTGTACCACATGCATTTCCTGTTTTGTACACAAACTGAAAGCAAGCTTGAACAATAGTAAATAGCAACTACACTCCTGCAACAGGTGAAAATGCCATGCTGCAGCTGCTTACTCCTTCACTTTAGATATGTAGTCAGCAATTTTGTTGATGCTATCCTCCTGCTGTTCTAGAGCATCCAGGATGATGCCCATTGGGGTCTTCTTCAAGCCTATTCCCTCCATCTTGTTCTGCAGCTTGTTCTGAATGTTCCGGAGCCTCAGAGAAGCGTGGACAAACATCACTGCAGGACAGAAGCACACTCATGAATTGTTAATGCTCAGGGAATGCATAAATTCTTGCAGCACTCATCTGAAGACACATTCCAGCACCATGACATCACTGGAAGATGATGACGTACCAAAGACTGTTTAAGTAACCACAGGTACCCATTTAATAATGACACTGGAGATGGCTTGTGCTGTTTTGTGTCCACTCCCCCACAGTTCTGCTTTGGGATCATTTAAACAGACATAGCAAAGGCCAACAGCCAATTTAGAATCTGCAGACTTATCTGAGAAAGCTCAAGTCACACACTTCCAGCCCCACAGAGAAGAGAAAAACTACTTACAGAGGAGAGGAAGTGTGATCCCAAACATGAACACCATGACATCTCCCAGGTAGGAGATCAAGAAGTAGCTAGACAGCATGATGGCCACCACAAACGTGGTTGGATACTGCTTCTTCAGCTTGCGGAGAATATCCTTGTTGTGCGACATCCACACAAACCCCAGGAACACCAGTACCACCACCGTACCACCAATGACCATGTTCAGAGGACTCAGAAATCTGGAGAGAAGAGGGAACAACAACAAAAAATATTCAGTTTCAGAGCCTTCATGAGCTCAGCAGTGACATTACCTGGGAGGGAAGTCATTGAGAAGGCAGTTGCTGCTGTCAAGACTTTTACCAAGGTCTTTAGCAGAAGGTAAATAAAGCAACAAGTGCAACTCGAACAAGCAACCCTTTTAGCACTGACTTTAGATAATCTTTATGTTCTCTTCTTGAGTTTAGCTCAGGATAATGAATTTTTACAGCACCTCATAATGGAAGCACTTCCCACCAGGACCCCTCCTACCTCTGCAATCAACTCGTGGTATTGCACCCAGAGTGAGCATATCCAGAGAGCAGATGGAGGCAACAGGTGCCCAAGGGACTGATATTTTCCCTCCATATGGCAAAACCAGGATCAGCCTAGGCCTTCAGATGAACTAGCTTGTCATAGTATCTTGTCTAGGTTTGCAGAATGGGAAAGGAACACTAACTAAAGGGGAAGTTACTTCACTCTTTCTCATTTCTGAATAAACCTTCTTACTGGTTTACAACCAAACATGAGAATTGTATGAACTTGCAGAAGGAGCTCACCACCATCAGCACAACAGATGGAAGCCCAGTCCCAAGCAAGCATGCCTGAGAGTCAGAAGGAACTGGAGTATGGGATAAAGGTTTCACAGGAAGAAGAGCCAGGCCTGGCAAGAGGCTCACTGCTGAGGTTTTGTGTTCTATTATTGTTATCAGAGTTTCCAAGCAAACCAAGCCACTGAGTGGATCAGCTTTGGACTATAAACAGCCAGTCCCTTTTTTGGAGCAGCGCGGGAACATCACCTGCTCAAACCGCTTCCCTGAGTATTTAGAGCTTGTTCAGAGTGAAGCTTTCAGCAAGGACTCTGCTGAGCTTGTTTCTGTACTCACACAAAGTCAAGGCTCTATGATATTTCACTCACAGAGTGAAAAGTTATGTGATTTCATGTGCACTCTGATTTGCTGGCCTGCACATGCACTGCTCTGGTTACACAGCAGCTGAGGGCTCTGAGCTCTTACAGCTATGGCAGCAGCACCACACCACCCTGACAGAGCCACACATACTCAAGATTTCCCCTCACAGACTTTGCAGCACGTCTTGCTGTTCCAAAGCTAACAGGCACAGTGATTCACCACTCCTCCCCACTGCTGAGGAGGATGCTATGGTTTGTGGTCTGTGCTTCATATCCGGCACAGGCACAAGAAATGTGCCAGTATGTCAACACTCCACCTGCAGTGCCAGGAAACACCTCCCCAGAGAAGGAAGAATCCCCAAGAATTATTTCAGAGCAAGGACTGGCTCTTGATTCTTTAAGTCAGTTGTGCCAACAGGAGACAGGACAACTGGACAGAAAAAGATTAAGATTCAGACTAGTTCCCCACCTGCTTCTGCTCCTCACGCTGAAAAGCCAACAGGACTTTTTGGAAGTGGTGATAGGGCAGACTTGGTTGTTGCATCTGAGTCACTCCCTGTAGCCAGCCAGTTTATATTTAGCTTTGAATTGTCAATCTAAAGTTTCCAGGCTGGAAAAAGTGAGCAGCATTGCTCTGGAAGGAAATTGCTTTCATCTGTGCTCCTTTGCAGCAGGAGAAGGAGGGTGACTCATGACTGGACCACCCTGGTGCCTGGCTTATATACATACTACTGGACACATGAGATTCCTAAAGTAGAAGTCACCTCCACATCACAGCTACCTTGGAGCAGAAATGGCCAAACTTACTCAGGCAACTCACAGTAAACAATTTTTTGTTGCCAAAAAATCCCCAGACAAGATAATCCTAGAAGCAACAAAGAGCTAGGCGGAGCTCCACTACATTTTCCACATGCCTGGCAAATGCTCTCAAAGCCTTATCTTCCCTGCTCTTCCCTCTACTCTTATTACAACTTCAGAAACTTGTGGTTAAGAGCTATCCCTCCATATTTATAAGGAAGAGACCGAATAATTCTTTGCTCTACGCTTTTTTTCGGGTATTACACAGGTCCTGTATAACTGACTGGCTGTAAGGGATATAAAGGGGAGTGGGGGGGAGGCACAATGCATTCAGAAGATCCCACTCTCCTGAGGAAAAGTGATCTGAATTACATGTTTTTTGAAGTGGGCTGCATTCCACCGCGTACAAGGGAACAGTGAACAGAAGTATCAAGTGAAGGCATTCAAAGCCACATGAACACAGATGGGGACTGCAGTTGCCACTGAAAACTGGTACTCAAATTATCAGCCATGTGTCCACAGACTTCACTGCTGGTGACTGCAGTGCTGGATAGGGTGTCATATGCCAAGCTCCCCTTTATTGCTTGACTCGCCCACAGCATAATTTACAGCACTAAGATTACCCTAGAAATTCATATATAGAAAATTCTTCTCCAGCAATGGCATTTTTCAGGAAGGCAGAACTCCATTATCTTTTCACTCAGATCTGTTGGCAGGCTGCTCTCAGTAACACAATAGCTAAAGACTAGAAAGGAAAAAACATGGACACGTTATTTTAGAACATCAGGGCAGGGCCTGGGGAAAAAGCAAGCTGTGTAACAGCCCTAGAAGTCACCTTTCAGCTGAACCACCAACGCTGGTATTGGTTTTATTTATACAGAGGTCAGAACACAATATGACAAATTTGTGCTCGGGCAAGGAGGCTGGAAGCCTTTCACTGCTGCAGAGACAAGGTAAGTGACCAGCCATTAAGTATGTTACAAGATACTTTCTAAATATAATTCCCTTTAGCAGGGATTGATGAGACCTCTCAAATACCTAAAAATGTAATGCACAGAACTATCAGCAGGGCTGGGGTGTGGCTTGAGTTTACACTGCTCAGATGACTTAGGGGAAGAAAAACTCTTTTAGGGTTGGACATGAAAACCACCAACTTCTATGACCCTGAAAGAAGCTAGAACAGCAGGACTAATGGCATTTGGGTGTGCTAATGGCCTAGAGCATCTTGTGTGGATGATCTATCTCCTTCTTTGTTCTCTGTGACCTTCAGTACAGCCAAGACAAACTGACAAGGAAAAGCCATCACTCCGATTCAGTTCCAACAGTGTCACAGTGGGACTTGCCATTGCAGCCCTGCAAAGACCAGGCTTCCTTCAGCACCTGCCTCAGTGCAAAGTAAAGAGACAGGGAAAATAAATAAGACAGGGAAAATAAATAAAACAAAATGAACATCCTGTCTGGCTGCAGAGACACAGGTATTATTCCAATACACTCTGTATTCATGGAAGGAGCCTCAGGAGAGAAAAGATGCTGGAGGTGCAGTTGCGTGGGAAGAAGTACTGGCAGTTACCCTGGGGCCAGCAGAAACAGATGAAGACGAAATACTTTCTTTTTTTTTAACTAGATTCATATTTCTAGGCTCTGCCCTACATGCATCACAAGTTAGAATTCTCACACAGGTTCAGGAAAGCCCCAAAATCTCTGCTTTCAGTGAGTTACCACATCACCTCTCCCCGTCAGGCAGCTTCATTCCTGCACACTTGTGCGGCCTTTACAGCAGGAGACAGGGAGGACACACAGCTGTAGTGCGGGGAAAGAGAGCTTGGCAAGACACATCCCTGGTGGAAGAAAAGAAGCCTCCAGCAGCACAAGCCCAGAAATAGGACAGGCCACATAAAAAGCAAAAGCTCCATCCTCAAATCAGCTACGTTTTAGATGACTGTATTGGGGTGATTATTCAGCAGTTGCTGTCACATCTGTTTCTTTTGCATGTGACCAGGCAAGTCTGAACAAAGGCACTGAGTAGGAGACTGGCAGTCATCGTGAACCACATTTTTTTACTTACAGTAGCTCAGTTAGGCTGTTGCACCAAATAAGCATGAAAATTCCCTTTTAGAAGGCCTTTTGCTCTACCACAGTCCAAGCAGTGGGAATGTCAGAGTTCTGAAATGCTTCCTCCCTCATTTGTATTAATTTAAACAACGTGAAAGATGAAGTTCTGCCTCCTCTCTCCCCCTACTTTGAGCTTCACTGAGATTATACAGCTGTAATGAGATGTAGCACACAAAACTATAAATAGCATGTTATTCCAGGTGATAGCCCTCAGCATCCATGGATTTAACAATGTTTCTATTCCTTCTTTTGTTTACTTGCATTGTTTTGAGAACAGGAGACTGATTGCTTCTTGCAGAACTGCCAGACCTTTATGAAGTTATATACTAATATTATTATGCAATGTATGTTTTAAAATGATGTGTTTTGCTCACTCAATCTTTCATCAGGCATGAGAGAAACTAAAGACTGTGCTGCTCTGGAGTTTTTGTTTCAGCAAAGGGAGTCACTACAGGCACCTCAGGCTGGGGAAAGTAAAAAAAGAAGAAAAAAAGACAGGCAGTCATCGATTGCTGGGGTTGTGCAGATGAACAGTAGAAAAAAGTGGCAAAGGAAAGAGACATCTAACCTCAGGCTGCAAGGAGATTATTCCAGAAGAGAAGGAGAACTCTGATGTTCGCATAGATGCAGCACTCTGAAATCCAGCACGCTTTTTAAAACTGTCAGATTCAGAAGCTAATTTTTAGCAAGTACATGGCAACAAAAGCCTAGATGAAATTACATTAATTTAAGCAGTTAAGTTTGAATTACATGACAGAGAGGCCTTGTTGGAGTAGGTGGAAGAACAGACAAATTCCACTTATTAACCAAATTGACTGTTTGAGGAGAGTTACAAGCTGTTGTGGGAGGCACTGAAGGCACCAATTTTAATAAAAATCCCAACAGGACTCGCAGTGACAGGGCCCTGGCTCAAGGTAAGAATGGGGAGACCAGTTCCTCCATAACTGGGTGAAAGGGCACAAGTTTGTAAAGATCTTGTTTTTATCAGTGATCTACTGCAACTGAGTTGGGGGGGGGAAGAAAAAGCACACAAGTCCAGAGTCATTCTTAAAGGAATTTGCAGGGAGGGAGCAGGGGAAAGACAAGGCCTGTATTTGTGGAGTGGAACTAATTCAGGAGTTTTAGTTTTTTGTTCACTGATTTATTATTTTCTACCCAGTCCTGCAGGCTGAAAGTAAAAGCTACATTGCTGCAAAGCCCAGAACTTCATTTACATGTAACAGTAGCTTTAGGAGAAGACAGATGGAAGGAGAAAGGCAGGGACATGATGCAACAGAGATCATTGCAATTCCACGACGTTCATGGTAAGGTTATTCCACACCTTGAGGAAATTGGGTAAAAGGCTGGAGAGGTCACCTTTGCTGTAGGAGAGGCAGTAAACTGAAGCTGTGGCAATCAGCACTGCACCTCCAGTACCAAGAAAGCTTCAGGCTACAATTTCTGAGTCAGCCCACCACAACCACAGTTGCCAAGTGTTGCAATAGCTGAAAATATTATCTCTACATTACAAGTCTGTCTATATAGTTAGATGGTTTAAGAACAGGTAGAGTTGGTCATGGGCTAAGTTTAGTTTTGATCACAGGAAGACCACTACATAAGTAGTTTCAATAATCCTGCCCTTAGGCCTGTATACAGCCCTGGAGTTCCTAAAAAGCCATGATTCATTTATCACTCAGAGGTTCCTGCCCAGTACAGAAGTAAGTGCAACAACTCAGTCATCTATTTAAATTTATCAGGAGAACTTTCTTTACGTTTCTCCCAAAGCCACAGTCTGGCCAAACGAAAAATATTTTTATTAGAAGAAATGGATACTTTTTCTCTATTGAGGTATTATCCCATTTCCTTTAGAGTTCTTCTCCCATTTGATTTTACTTCAGTGTTATTTGCATCATACACCAAAGGCTCTAAGACATGCTAAAAAAAATATTTGAGATCAAGATTCCATTCCAGGTATTGTTTATCTGTAAGTTTGCAACTTAAAAGGTTATCACTTAATGTTATGGTATTGGAATTGCAGTTCTGATATTAGTTTCCATCTCCTATGCCTTTCTTCCTCTTCCACCTCCCACCTCAGCACATTAGTGGGAAACAAGTGGGAGATGAATCTCCCTTGATCTGAAAAAAACCAATCAGAGTTCAAAAGGAGGAATTTAGGAGAGTGAGTAAAAGCTTCTCCCATTCTTGTTTCCTGACAAGAAATATTAAAATTGTTTTCCCAACTTTCTTGGGCATAAGAGCTTATCCCTCTGCCTTCCAGGGACATTGTGACTCACCTACACATTGAGAGGTGGCTACAGCATCATGCTGCTAAATAGGGGTAAAGGAACACAGAAGTTTGGAGCAAGGTGGTATAAGAAAAGCAAGGCCGTGGAAGTGTCATTTTACCAGCCTAGTAGTCTGTAAAGCTCACTGCAGCATAAAAGCAGAAAGCCTATGCCACTATGCCAAACCCTTAACCATCATATGCATCCAGAAGAAAAAGCAGGATTCTGAGCCTATCCTTCCTCAGAGCACAGGCCAAAGCTCCCTGGGAGCCACAGAATCTTCACCAACTTAAGATGCTGGGTCAACAGCTTCAGAAGCCCTAACAGGATGCAGAATGCTTACATAAAAAAAAAAAAAAAAAGAAAGACTTAGAGGAATAATTTTAAGACTCTACAACACAAAAGATAAGATGTACTTCAGCCAAAACCACTCTGGCCTAGTGGCTAGGCAATCCTCCAATTTAAGCATTTGCGCACTCTTTGCTGAGAAGAGTGGAGTATTCCAGTTTCCATATTAAAAGCTTAATCATCAGCTTCTGCTGTATGCCTTGCTTAAGAGCTTTCTGACCAAAGATGCCGAAGCAATACCTCAAGAGTCACATAGGCTTTGATTCAGAAGATCATTATAAAGGTTATTTCCTAATTCTCTTCAGGAAAGCTGGGCCTGACACAACATCGTACTGGCTAATGGTCCTGCCTTGAAGAGAGCAGAATTTATCTATGTTTTTTCTTTTAAATTCACAGCAGAGCATGTCTGAGCATGCACAGCCCCACTGACAGGTTCAGGAGGAACCACAGGTCGCTGCGCAGGATGAGGCTCCGTTTTCTACGAGCGACATCCAGCACATAAAAATCATCGCTGCCTCCTGCCAGGCTGGGTGTCTGCTGCCTCTCCCTCGGGCAAAGGGCTTGAGGAGCAGCCCGTGTAACAGGGAGATAACAGTAACATCAGTGAGACTGCACCAATAAACTAATAAATAAGTCATAAACCTGACTTCTCTCAAGCCTCCTCTCCACAAGGGAGGCTGTAACCTCCTGCATTTTTAAGCGACACCAGAGGTTTAAGGGAAGACAAGAGGGGAAAAGGGGGAAATAGGGGGAAGGAATAGGAGGGAAAGCGGCAAGTGGGGGGAAAGAGGAGTGGAGGGGGGAAAGGAGAATGGAGAGAAGGGGAAAGGCGGAGGGGGGTGAAAGGAGAATGGGTTAAGAGAATGGAGGAAAAAGAGAATAGGGGGAAAGGGAAGAGGGGGAAAAGCAGCTCCTCCGGCCCTGCAGCCCGACATCCCTCCCGGGGCCGGGCCGGACCCCATGCCGTGGCACCGGGCCGGGTCTCAGCGCTCCCGGCCCGGGATCGGGGCCCCTCCATCCCGCCGCCCCCCGCCCGGCCGCGCTGCGAGGCCGCGCACTGACCCCACGATGGAGACGAGAGCGGCGGCCACCATCAGGTAGTTGGTCTGGTAGTAGAGCAGGTTGCTGACCACGCGGTTGTTCCATTTCGAGATGTCCTTGAGGTCGGGCAGGGCGAAGCGGTCCGAGCCGGGGAAGAAATCGTCCCAGGCCCGCAGCGGGGCCACCTGCACCTCCATGGCCGCCGCCGCCGCCGCGCAGGCTCGGGAGAGCCGGGCACCGCCCGGGGGCGGCTCCGCGACCGCGGCACCGACAGACAGACAGACACCGGCACCGACAGACAGACACCGGCACCGAGGGGCACACCGGCACCGATGCGCGCACTGGCCCCCGGCCCCGGCCCCGCTCCTCGCCGCTGAGACCGCGAGCGAACGAGCGGCAGCAGCAGCAGCACAAGCGACGGTCTGTGTCACCGCCCGCCACACGCCCAGGGATGGCAGCTGACACGGGCTGCTGTCAATAACCGCTGCAAACTCATTGTTCCCTCAGCAAATGGAGGTGCGCGTTTAATATTCACGTGCCGAACCCGCTCCGCATCATCTGTGAGACGGGGGGAGTGTCAGCCCCAGCCCTCTGGGGGGGTGTCCCATTGCAGACTGGCTCTGCTAGTGGGGGTGATGTCTTCGAGGTGAATTTTCTGTCTTCGGGCTGAATTTTCTCGCCTTTCTTAAACGTAACTGATGTCAGATAACTTCAACAATACAAGCTGTTTACTGAAGAAAAGAACTTTGTGTTTTCAAGCATTGCCTAAGATTAGATCACCGAAATAAATATGCATTAGGTGGGCGGGAAATATGTATTAGAGGGGCGGGGTCATGCAAATTTTACTTTATAAAACATGTAATTTTTATCCCTTGGAATGCTTGATTTGTGGAAACCTACACCTTGCACCCTGTGCAAAATGAACAACGTCTCCTTCTTAAACTAGACTCTGTGTCTGTGTTTAGAGAGCTCCTAAAATCGGCAACAGGGTGATTGTACCTTTGGAGGCGAAGGTTGGTGACAGCAGCTATGCTGGTTCGATACCAGCAGTCCGTGTTGGAGCCCTTGGGCTTTCAGGCTTTCACACTTCACCCACCACGAGAGTACCACACAACACCCCGGGTTTGCTGCGGACATCAAAGTCCTTCTCAAAGTGCAGACTGGTGAGCCAGGACATTGGCAGCTGCTTCTAAAGTTTGGGAGGCCAAGGCTTGAGCACAACCCTTGTTAGTCCTGCTCGTCTGCTTCCCATCCTGTGCTCAGACGCTGTTCCCTAGTTCTGGTTTATTTATATACGATCCCAGGAGAGCCTGTCAGGCCTCTGTCCAGGGAGTGCTGATGAGGCAAAAGCCTTTGTGGTGGGCAGTGACCAGCCCCAGGCTGATCCCACATCCACGTTTGGTCTCTCGTCATTCTCCAGCCTCTAAGGTGCCCTGAGAATGCCCTCCTGGGTGAGAGGCCACCAAGATGATCGAAAGGATGGAACATCTCTGCTATGAGGAAAGGCTGAGAGAACTGGGATTGTTCAGCCTGGAAAAGAGAAGGCTTATGGGTGACCCAATTGCTGCCTTCCAGTACCTGATGGGAACCTACAAGAAAGGGAGTTTTTCCAAGGGCCTGGAGTGATAGAATACGATGGATTGTCTTCAAACGAAGAGAGGGCAGGTTTAGATTAGACATGAGGAAGAAATTCTTCCTCGTGAGGGTGGCGAGGTTGCCCAGAGAAGCTGTGGCTGCCGCATCCCAGGAAGTGTTCAAGGCCCGGCTGGACAGGGCTTGGAGCAAGCCGGGCAGGGGAGGCGGGAGCCTTTATCTCATGGCTCAGGGGTTCCGCAGAGGTCCCCCCGCCGTGTCGCCAGGACGATTATCGCGATTATCGCCCCCTCCCGCCTTCCCCAGCGCAGGAAACAACCCCGCGGGCCCGGCCCCGGCCCCGGCCCCGCCCCGCGCGGGGCACTGTGGGAAGCAGAGGGAGCTATGGCGGATGGTGAGGAACCGTAAGTGCCCTGTATGTGTGTGCTCGGCCGCCCCCGCCCCGCGCCCGGGGAACCCCCTCCCTCCTCCCCGGTCTCTGTAGCGCGATACTGACCCTTCTTTTATTCTCTCTCTTTTAGGGAGAAGAAAAGAAGGAGGCTAGAGGAGCTGCTGGCGGATGGGTTAGTGCGGGGCTGCGGGGGCAGCGCTTGGCGGGGCGGGGGCCAGGGCAGGGCAGGGCAGGGAGAGCCGCAGCCCCGCGGGAGGTGAGGGACGGGGGAGGCGCGGGCAGGGAGGAGGGAGCCCCAGGAAGGATGTCACAGGTGGGGCAGGGCTCGAACGGCAGGGGCTGGGGGAGAGAGGAGCCCGGCCGGGAGGGGCTCGCAGCTTGGCATGGTGCGCTGAGGAGCTTGGGGACAGCACGGGGGGAGGAGCTGCCTTGCCGGCCGGGGAGCGGGAAAGGCCTCCAGGCTGAGAAGCAGGTGGCTGAATTTTTTGGCTGAAAATTTAAAAAAAAAAAAAAACAAAAAAAGAATTCAGGCCGCGGAACAGTTGGCCTCCTAAATTCCACGCACCTGCCTTAAAACTAAGGCTGAGAAATCTTAAGCATCATCTGCTTCCATCCCTTAGCTGCTCCCTTCCGTCTGCCCGTGCCCCTCTTGCCAGGGATCGCAAAGCCGGCCTGCCCGAGCGCTGGGCTCGCAGGCAGTGCATGTGTGTGTCGGGTGAGGGTCACGGAAATTCCCTGGGCATGTTGGATGGGAGGGGTGCATGCCGAGTCCCTCGAAAAGCATGGAGCTTCGGAGGCGTGAAAGTGGCAGGGAAAAGTCTGAGCTTAAGGCGGTGTGTAAGGACTGTGGCGCTCTGAGATTTTTTAAACGAAATTTAAAATAAGAATTTTGTTAAACTCTCGCAATACTTGGTAACGCTGTAACAGCACAGCAGATAAACACTTAAAAAAAAAAAGGCTCTGAAATATAAAATCTCAGGTTGAATTATTGATGTTTTTCAGATCTCCACAATGTCCAACCCTGTAAAAATCAAACTGTAGTACAATTGCAAAAGTGAAACTAGATCTTACCATTTTGCCTGACTTATGAAGGGATATACACATTTAAACACACAAGGAATGGTGCTGCTCAGTGGCTGTTTATAGGGGCTGTATAAAAGGATAAAGGAAAGTTGTTCTTAGTGCCACCAAACACAGCTTCTACGCTCATTTACAGAAAAGCTAAAAATTTTAATATCCACAGAAGCAGGTTTTGTGATGTCTACTGACCCATTTTATTTGCTTAATCGGTGCTTAATGCACATCCTGAAACCTGGTGTACAACAGGTGAGGGGTCTGTACAGAGACAGACTGTTGTGTTTATTTACACCATTTCCCATTGTGTGAAATATGTGTATTTCCACATTATTGTGAAAACTGGAGAAGGTACAGAAGGGCAGTTCGGGTCAAAATCCCCTTATGAATTCAAATAATTTTTATAGCTCTTAACTGCTCATATAGTAAGTAACTTATCTCAACAGTTAATCAGGAAGGAGTTCAGTCTGCAGTCAAAATACCAGAACCCTAGAATAGTTTGGGTTGGAAGGGACCTTAAAGATCATCTCATTCCAGCCCCCGGCCAGGGACAGCTGCCCAAAACAGGTGAATTATGATTTATTTATTCCTGCAGTTTAGACTTTTCCCCTGTTACTGAAAATTTTTTGTAAAATCAGCTGTCTGTAGGTTAAAGTTACTGTGGACATGCTGTGTTGTCCCTGTTCTGAATGCTGTGAAGAGAAAGGAATTCACTCTAGATGTTTTCACTAAATTTTCGAGTCAACAGGGAGTTGTGATAAATTCTAAATATTACCCTACAGTTATTAGCCAAGTGCTTTTCATAGGGCTTCACAGAAGGAAGCAAATAACACTCCTTATCAATGGTGGCACAACCTTTTATACTCAGGATTGGCAAAGCTCTTTTATAAGAAGTTTAGTTTTGTATTAATGTAGAGCACAATCATATATGTATTGAGTGGAGCTCCTATTTAAAAAGGGGAGTAGCTGATGGTCTTGCACTAGAAAATTACTTGAGAGCTGATTTTAAACTATTCCAGTGAGTCTCTGCAGTTTAAATTTATACTTACGTACTACTAAAAGTGACCTGCAAAAGCAGAAAAAGGGTACTGGAGTATTTTGTGTAAAATTGTGTCTTGAAAATTCAAGGGAAGATAAGTACAAACTTTCCTTTTTGCACTGTTACAGCTGACAGGCTCAGGGATGACTGAAAAATTGGGGTATTCCAAATTACACAGTACCGTCTGAGGGTGAAGAGCATTCAAGATTTATGTCTTTCTTAACACTCTTTAAAAAAATTAACTAATCTGAAGATTCAGAGGACAATGTCGGGGCATGTTACTGTTATTTATTCAGTGCCTCACAATTGCTGTTACATACTGGTAATTCTAAATTTATGAACTTAAAAAATCAGTCCAAAAAAGTATACAAGACTTTACAGATCAAAAAACCACCCTCAAAATCTAAAGGGACAAGCTCTTTTTCTGTGTCCTCTTTAAATATGAGGGAAATAAAAGTATTTAGACCCTTTTTCACTTCAGGTCAACTTTTACTAGTAGCAGTTAAATCAATGGGTTTATTGAAATGCCTGAGGGTTTTTTTCCCCCTCTGTGCATATTTATATTGTTGCTTTCTAGTTGCACAAATAAAACCCACTCATGCAAATGCTCACGTGCATAACACACACGCAGAATATGCAGATGCATTTGTATGAATGGTCAATAATCGAGGTGTTTTTTTAATATAGAAAAGTTGGAGGTGTGGCTTTTTCTCTATGATTTTGCAGCTGAATTTACTGTGTTCTGTGCAGAATGGCTGTTGATGGTGGGTGTGGGGACACTGGAGACTGGGAAGGTCGCTGGAACCATGTAAAGAAGTTCCTCGAGCGATCTGGACCATTCACACATCCCGATTTCGAGCCAGGCACTCAAGTGAGAAACACTTGCTTTCAATAAAAAAATCTGTAGTGTGTGTTGCAAAGTAATGTAAACAGGTTAATTAACTGACCCACCAGCAATGTGTGAGTACTAAAACTGCATGAAAAGGTTGTATTTTAATGATGTGAACATACTGTGCTTTTTTTATAAGCCTGTATTTCTAAACTGTACGCTGTCAACTACAAGCTTGCTGTTATCATACATAAATATATAACAACATATGAATTATGCTCTGTCTTTGAGTTTCACGTAAAAAATAGCAGCATTTATCTTCCATTTTTAAGTACTTTGATATAGTGAGAAATTTATTGTACTTAAAGAAATTACTGTTAATATGAGTACTTGGAGAACTGGGAAAGATGTTTACTAAGCAAAAGCAAAATTTAGAATGTTTAATTATTTCTTCTGCTTTCCTTTTTTGTACATTTTGTTTTACAGCTTACAGTTGAAAGTATTTTACTATTATCTTTTCAGTGTACTGTTCCATTATTTACTACTTGGAGGCTGGGGTGTACTGGAACAGTTCACGGAAAGCAGTTATATAGTTAAACATTTCACTTCTTTTTGGCCAGCAATGTTACCTGTCTGTTTAGATGTATTTAGTTATGTATATATTCATTTTATATATATATATATGTATATGTATATCAGTGAAATATTTGAAGGAGGAAAACATTTCTTCCTTAAGCCAAATAATAATAAAAGTGATAAAGATAATACTGGTATCAATAAAGGTCTTGCTTTACTCTAATAAATTAGAGTAGGAACTCCTGATTAAAGTCCAATATATAATTACTCATGGAAACACAAAGTTGCTTTATCTGTAACTCACTAGGCACTGAAAATTTATGGTGTCATGTTTATAAGAGTTATGAAGCAAAGGACAAATTGTATTAATTTTTTCTTTTATGTCTTCTGCAGGCCCTTGATTTTTTGCTAAGCACATGTAAAGTCCTAGTTATTGGAGCAGGAGGATTAGGATGCGAACTCCTGAAAAATCTGGTAATTCCTCAGTTTTCACCCTTCGTGTCTTAGAATCTTCTCTTTTTAATTTGAGGATTTATATAATAATTTATATATATATAGCTACTAGATTTCCAAGCTCTAATTATGTGTAAAATAGATGATGATACGGACCATAAACTTGAAGAATGTTGTTAATAAGCTTGAAAGGTGGTAGTCTGATATGTTGCATGTTATTTATTCAGCTGTCTCTCAGTTTGTCCTGAGGGACAACATGCTGCTGTTTATGGAGTGTAGCCAAAAGTTCATGTGCAGCCTTAGAGAGTCTGATGTTGATGATTGTCCCTAATTACCAGATCCATGTAAACAAAGTAAACTAAGAACAAATCACGCTCATGATGGTACAAGGAGGGACTGTGTGGAATACAGTGGTGAAAATCGTAGACTCATAGAATCATTTAGGTTGGAAAAGACCTTTAAGATCATTGAGTCCAAACCTAACACAGGATTTCCCTGGTGTACAGATTACCAGGAGGTGTTCTGCAGTTTTCTTGGCTTCCCTGTGTTAGGATTAGGTTGGATAAAGCAGTACTGCCTTCAGTAGAACATTGTCTTTGACTGTTGAACTGTTACTAATTCCATCTGTAAATACCAGCACTAACAGCCCAGCAATGGCCATGTACCTGTCTGCACAGGGAATGAGGAACAAATACGATTGTTCCTCTAAATCTTGGGGTTTTTTTGGCACATGGAATGAATTCTGGAGCTCTGCAAGCTTTTGATTTCCTATTAAACGAAGCTGACCTTCTCTTTTCACAGGCATTGTCTGGCTTCAGGCAGATCCATGTTATTGACATGGACACTATAGATGTCTCTAACCTCAATCGACAGTTTCTGTTTCGGTGAGTGCTGTTTTCACAGTTCAGCTTCTGAATTTTTTAAATGTACCTAAACAAAACACATGAAAATGATCATTATTGTGGTTGGACAAGATGTCATTAAAGATTACTGAACCTTCAAATGACAGTAGGACTCAGAATAAACTAAATGTTGCTAAACTTCTTTTGGGATCTGTGGTGTCATAGTTTGAGCGGGAAGAAAATTTTTGTTCCTTACCATTCCAGTAGAGCTAATGGAAAAAGTCACACCAAAAAATAATATACACAGAGTGAAACCTCAGATTTTCTAGTGCCATTTTCTTCTAAGCACAGTGAAAAATTGTTGGATTTTTTTGATGCTGATAACTGTAGTTACATGGACATATTCAGGTGACTCAATATCTCGTATCTGATGCTTTACAGGGATCACAGAACGCTTTGGGTTGGACGCTTTAATGTTATCATGTCAATAAATTGTCTTAAAGTCACAATTAATCACTTAATTTGGTATTGCAATGCATAGAGACTGGAGAGGTTGAATCTGCTAAAATAACACGTTTGGAATTGCTTGGGTTTTCCCAGACCGAAGGACGTGGGGCGACCAAAGGCTGAAGTTGCAGCAGAATTCCTGAACAGCCGCATTCCCAACTGTGCTGTTGTACCGTATCCTTTTGTAGAGAAGTAGTGGCCCTGAAGGCTTCAAAAATCCTAGAAAACTCTGTAGGTGGTAAGAGTATCTGAAGTATTTTGCTGCCATCCTCTCTTTTCTGTACAATAAAGAACGGATTCATTCAGCTGGTGATTGAGAATTCTTCCTCAGCGACATTAGCATCCAGGGAATATGCATGGGAAAGGCTCAGCTTTAAGAAGCTGTTTTGTATTTTTCCACTGAGTGTTTTTATTCAAACGCAATATTGTAATTTTCACTGAGATACTGGAATTACAGGTTTATACACTAGAGTGTTTTGAATACTTACTGGTAGGAGACATGAGTGTATAAACTTAGAGCAGCACTTACTGATAGGGGACTTTGTGAGAGCACATGCTTTGAGCTTCCTAAATATTTCGCCTACTGAACTTTCTCCTGTTTGTGACTATTACGTTGTGTCTCTTACTTGTTTTGTCAGATATTACAGCTGCATCTGTGGGAATTTTGAATCTCAAATCCCATAGTTTTTTTAAAAAAGTCTTGTGTAAAACTATAGCAATAAATTAGATGATATTTTGGCCTTAGCTTAGAAAATAGGAAACAGTAAACTTAACTATAAATATATTCCTTTACTGGGCTTACATTCAGATATTTTAAAAAGATCCAAGACATGGATGAAAGCTTCTATCGACGTAAGTGGAATTTGTGTGCCTGCCAAACACCCACAGGTGCTTTAGGGGAACCTTGCAGTTGTTGCTGCTCACTGCTTTTCCTGGGAGTTAGATTGCTAATTCTTATAGTCTTCTACAATATACTGAAAATAGAAGTAACAAATAAAATTTAAATACATCTGTGATACAGGTAATCTAGGGGAGATAGTTAAACCATAGTCACTGTCTCTGGACTGTTATGGACAGAATATTTGCTTGTTTTCAGAAATGTGCTTTAGTGTAGATTTAATTAATGTTTTTTTTCCCTCTAGAGTTCCATATTATTGTTTGTGGGCTGGACTCTATAATTGCAAGAAGATGGATAAATGGCATGCTGGTAAAGTCTTCAATCTTTTTAAAGCCTCATTATTGCTTGGGTATCGATAACTAATCTTAAACATGCTTTTGTAGAACATGTCATTAAAATGAATGAGGGCTGTTGAAGCTCACAGCTTTCTGTATCTATTTGTTTTCTTTCTGTAAACAGGGTGAAATGCAGTGCCTTTTTCTTGAGGACTGTTAGCCAACATTTGTGCAGTGCCCTGCAGGGGTAATTTCAAAGTTAGATTGCATTGTTTGTGACCTTGTGCAGTCAGCTTCTGAAAGTCATAAGAAGGGAAGTTCTTCTCTGGATGCTCCCATTGTGAACTTTGTCTTCATTACCCAAACAGTGCTTTTTGTGCTGCAGCTTGTAAATGCCATCTTTTTGGAGCTGCAGTGTTACAGAGTTCAGTGACTAGAAGGCTGGTCACTGAACTAGGTAGTTTTATCATGGTGAGTTTGTTTACAAAACAAGGATCTGGAGTATGTACCTGTATTTAAAAAAAAACAAAACAGCAAACCAAGAATCAAACCTCCAAATCCTTTATACCAACCAACCATTTGTTCTGATATACTGTAAGGAAATAACAGCATTTATCAGAGGAGGAGGTGGAGGGTGAAGGTGATAGATGAGAGTCTTGTGCACTGACAAATAAGTAGTGTTTTATATACTGTGCACCCTTAAAATAAACCGTATATTAAGCCTTCAATCTTACAGTGCACCATTAAGAATAAAATTTTTAGGATGTCTTTTTCTTCCTGCAACTTGTTTAAAACACCCAACCAAACAAAAAACCAACAACCCCCCTACCTCTGTTCATTAGATGTCCTTTTTACATTATGATGATGGGGTACTGGATCCAAGTTCCATCATACCTTTGATAGATGGAGGGACGGAAGGTTTCAAAGGAAACGCTCGTGTGATCATTCCTGGTATGACAGCATGTGTTGAGTGCACACTTGAGCTTTATCCACCACAGGTAATTCAACCAGTGATATTTCCATTTTTTGTCTGTTCCTCTGATTTGCTGATTTCTTTTCCTGGTGCTATATATAGTGTATTACCTGGTTTCTTCTGGTTTTCTTCCCCTGCCCAACCAGGTCAATTTTCCCATGTGCACTATTGCATCCATGCCCAGATTGCCAGAGCATTGTATTGAGTATGTCAGGATATTGCAGTGGCCAAAGGAGCAACCTTTTGGAGGTAATTAGTGTATTACATTGGTGCTAAATTGCCATTTCTCCTTTTAAGTAACTTGAGTTGGGAATATTCAGCTACTTCTAAAAAAAACAATCCTACCTCTTAACCTCACGTAGCTCATTGTCATGTTGAATCTAAGCCTCCTCCGAGCTGGATTTTCACTCCTTGAACTTGCTGCCCAGTTCCATATTTGCTCATGTGTTTCTCACACTGCACAATTTCTTTCCTTACTTAAAATGTAACCTGCAATAGCTCTATAAATCTGTGCAGTTAAGATAGTTTGTGTATAAGGTGTGTTACAACTGAAGATATTTATAGAAATGATATTTCAGTTATTCAAAGTGTCCAGTTTTAAAAGCTTCATGGGGTATTTGTTTTAACTCCAGTGAAAACAAAGGGACTTTTTTTAGACAGTAAGAATGCTGTATTTCTGAAGAACTTTGGTAATTGCAACTTACCTGTAAATTCTTAACTTTACTGTAGAAGGTGTTGCATTGGATGGAGACGACCCTGAACATATCCAGTGGATTTACCAGAAGTCTTTAGAAAGAGCATCACAATTTAATATTAAAGGTGTTACCTACAGACTCACCCAAGGTAAGGGGATGGCATTTCACCAAGTTTGTGACATTTGCACTTAGACTGGATTGGCATTCTTTGTATTTGTTAAGACTAAGCTGGCAACTCTGCTGAGAAAGAAATAATTCTTTTCTCCCTTAAACCAGAAATAAGCAGCTCATTTCCTGTGCCAGCACAAATATTTTTATGATGAATCAGATGTTTAGGCATTTGTGATAAATCAGGGTAACTTATCTGGGACAAAACTGAACATTCTTTTTGCCATTTTATTTTTAACCTGGAGCAGCTCCACAGTTTACATTACACTATGACCACTTTTGCTGGGTCAAAGAGTAGGAAACAAAAGGATGTGATTTTAGCAGTGGCAACATTTTATGCCAGTTTAGGCTGGTTAAGACTATGGCATCTGGTCCTCACTGCTGTCCATGCCTCTGTCCACATGCAAGTGCAGAATGCTGACACTCATTTAATCATAACAGAGCTGTGTTTCTGTTTTTACAGGGGTGGTTAAACGAATTATTCCAGCAGTAGCTTCTACAAATGCAGTAATTGCAGGTATGGTGGAAGAGCTCATTTCACTTCTGCTTGACCGACTTGAGAGTTTTGTAGAACAAAAATTTGTAATCGAGAACTCGGGGAGGATAATAGTAATTTTTAAAATGGGTCTGATTTTTTCTTAACAGTCTCATTTCTTTTTTCTGTAGAGAAAGTGGATGTGACTGTATAAATGTTAAGCTCGTGTTTGGATATGGGAGTGGGCAAAAGCATTTGAGACTGGGAAAAAACATGGGGAAACACAGTACATAGGCTTAGTGCCAAATCTGTGGTGTTAATGCACAGAACTACAGCTGCCTTCAGATACTTCTTTTTCTTACGAAATATTGTTAAAGTTGGGGTTTTTTTGTCACTTCTTTGGTACAACTGTGTGCACTGATGTCTGATAGAGCTGGAAGGTGAAGAAATTGATTTGGGTTTTTTTTTCCTCGTTCCAGCTGTTTGCGCCACTGAAGTTTTTAAAATAGCCACAAGGTATTTAATTTCTTATTCATAACATACATGATTTCCAGCACAATGCCATATATCAACACTAACCTGTTTGTCATTGCAGTGCATATGTTCCTCTTAACAACTACTTGGTGTTTAATGATGTGGATGGATTGTACACATACACCTTTGAAGCTGAAAGGAAGGTTAGTGCCATTAAAAACTCGAAGGGTCATTTTCTTGATTTTTATTTATGCAGTTTGTGTGTATTTCTGAACCCCAGTATTGAATCTCTTGGCCCCTAGCACCGAAAAATAATAGGTATGAAGTTTTAAAAGTGGAGTCTACAGTGTTACCAGTCTGCTACTTCTACAGAGTAGAAATACAAAATGACGTGCACATTTAAGATGACTCATAAGCGAATCTTCTCAAAGAGAGGTTGTGACAATTGATTTGAAGGTTTGTAGTGTTAGATTTTTTTGTCAGATGAAATTTGTCATGCATAAATACTCGGCTGCTGTTGAGGGTCAGTCAAACATTGACAAACTTCATGAGGAATTGGGTTTTGTCATTGGTATTTGCAACAGTATTAATATTTCTAGAGCTAAAACTTTAGAAATCTAAACCCACAGCACAGACACTTTTGAGACATTATTGGCAGGATTTCTAGAATAGTATCTAACATAACATGTATTCTCTGTTGTAGGAGAACTGTCCAGCTTGCAGCCAGCTTCCCCAAAACATAGTGATTTCCCCATCAGCTAAACTGCAGGAGGTCTTGGATTACTTGACAAATAATGCTTCATTGTAAGTGTGCAACTGTGCCAAGGTTTTTGGTAGTTTACTGTTTCAAAAAGATAATCTGTAAATGTATTTTTACCTGATTGTTTTGTTCTTTTTTTTTTTTTTTAATGTTTTATATATAGGCAAATGAAATCTCCTGCAATCACAGCAACTATGTTTGGGGGAAACAAAACACTTTATCTACAGGTAATCTGAACATTAATAATTATCTTTATATTAATGTATTTTAATTTATTTTTCGGAACTTGAAAGGAAATCTTTGACTTTTTTTGTTTGTTTGTTTTTAATTTGCAGACAGTAGCTTCAATTGAAGAACGAACAAGGCCAAATCTTTCCAAGACACTAAAAGGTATCATGGAGTTGTCACATGTAGATATTCAGGTTACAGAGTCAGTTCCATCCCTCTGTATGGATATTTAGCTTTATTTTGCACTGTGCAGTAGAATGTGGTTCATTGTCCTTTTACATGCAATACACCTTTCTCAGGTATATGAATTGTTTAAAGGTGAATTGCAGGTGGGTGCAGAGAAAATTGCAACAAAGCAAGCAGAAAACTGCTGTAAATTAAACATAATTCAGTACAGTTTTATATATATTTCTTGACGAGTTCTGTTAGTTTCCTGGTTAAATTAGATTATTATTCATTTAGCCAGTGAGCTGGTTGCAGCTTTATTTCATCATATTTATGGTACGTGGAAATAGCATTCATGACTTTTGGAGTCATGGGTTTAATTAAATTAATTAAACTTTTCTTTCTATTTCAGAACTGGGACTTGTGGATGGCCAAGAGCTTGCAGTTGCTGATGTTACAACACCACAGACTATGTTGTTCAAGCTTCACTTTACCACTTAATTTATTCATAAGTAAAGTGCAAATACAGCAAGACAAATCTGTGCCCACCTTGTAAAACAAATATACTCTGTGGGTGTTAAAGCAGCCTGAAATGTTCCTGTAAGTGCTAGCATGGTTGAAGGTTAGGAAATCCAAACAAATCACCATATTTCGGAATTTGTACGTAGAAGCCAATATTTGGTGGATTATATTTGTATAAATGCTTATTCATGTACAGATCTCTGATGTATAGAAATACACTTTTCCCCGTTTTTTTTTGGTCAAAATGTTCATGCTAATGTACTTTCAGACACGTGGAACTCAAGGTGGCTAAAAGTCTTTTTTTTAACACGTATGCATACGTATATGCAAAGAAAGGACCTTTTAAATGGAACCACAGCAATCTGGTTTTTAGTAGCAGCACTCCTTTGGACTTGCTGAGTCACCTTAAACCAGAAGAGGCAGTAAATTAAAATGAGCATTTTCTTCTTATTAGATACTGATTTGATCAATTTTATGAAAGGTTTCAAGTGTGGAAGAGATGACTGTTTATGAGAAACACAAAAGTACAAAATGATCAGCTGTACGTGAAAAGACAGACGTGTCTCCTCACTGTCCCCAGGCAGCCACCATGCACAGCATTGCAAGATTATGTTCAAATGTCATTGGTGCTGTTCAGGTATTTATTAATAAAAATCATAAAGACACCCGAGTTTGTGACCAATCTGTGGACATTCAAGAGTGTTTATAGCCTCAGTTGAAAATTGTAGGGCATCACTTGGCTGCTTTGGTCAGAGACATCTCTTAAGCAGCTCTGGGTATCTCAATCTGAATTCTGGTTTTACGTGTTAACAGTGTTTAAATTTTACATCTGTTAAACTATCAACTGTGGGTCAAGGAGTAATGGGTACAAATTGAAATGGAAAATTTAGGCCAGATATTAGGAAGGAATTCGTGGCTGTGAGGGTGGGGAGGCCCTGGCACAGGCTGCCCAGAGAAGCTGTGGCTGCCCCATCCCTGGAAGTGTCCAACGCCAGGTTTGAACATCTTGTCTAGCGGAAGGTGCCCCTGCCCATGGCAGGGGATGTGATGAGATGGGCTTTAAGGCCAAAACCCAAACCATCCTGTGACTGCGACTCTGCCATATCCCGGCGAGTGATTTCGTTAGCCGAAAGGGAGCGTTGGGAAGCAGGAACTCTGTTTACCGGCGGAGCTGGAGGCGCGGGCAGGAAGGCGGCAGGGCAGGACCGAGGCCGAACATCCCCCCCCGGCAGGGCAGGGCAGGGCAGGGCAGGACCCTCCGCCCCTTCCCGGCGGGTCCCGGCGGCTCCGGCTCCTCCTCCCGGGCCCAGCCCCGCCCGAGTGCGACGTGGATCCGGCAGCGCCTGCGCGGGCCGCCCTTCGCCTCCCTGCGCTCCCCTCAGCCCGAGCCGAGCCCGCGG